AGGGCACTGAGCAGTCTCTGACAAAACGGGGCAGCTGCACACAGATGAGGGAAGAGCGATAGTCACGACAGACATTTGGTCTGTTTCAAGCTGTAACATCAGGTTTTTTCATGCTGGACATTATTCCACGTGGAACTTGCAGCAGCACAGCTACCAGTTCTGTGCTGTTTGGAGAACACTTGCTCCTCTCCCACTTCCTAAGGTAACGAAAGCTGATTTCCAAGCTAAAGTCCATTACAAAAGGCAATCTCTCTATCGTGAAAAAGACCTTAACACCATGAAAGAAACTGGCAGCTCAAGCAAAGGGGTGAGGCTAGAAGTATGCAAAGTTTCCAAAATTCGTTCTTACACTGGAGCCAGCCTCCTAGGTACAGCTCACATCCCAGTCTCCTCCCTGCTGTCAACCACTGGTTGTCATCCAGTTCAGGACTGGGAAGTACACAAGGAGGAAATAACCGACCCTTCTCAGAAAGAAGTCTGTGTACCGTCTATCTACATCTAACTCAGAATAACAGGGCACCTTCCAAAGCCAGTGCCCTCCCGAAGCGGAGAGTATGGTTTGCTAAGGAACGATGGGCTGAAACACCACCCACCTGCCCCCTGCACCCACAGAACCACCTGCAGGGACTCTGTGCTTGAGCCTGACGGGCTGCAGGCAGGCGTCAGAGAGGCAGACGGCACAGAACCCACGCCACTCGGGAGCCGCTGTTCAGCAAGGCCTGTGTGATCCAGGGAGATAGGAACCTTTCAGCCACCCTGCTCTGTACGCACCTGTATGCTATTGCTTCCTGCAGGAGATGCATCCGATCCCAGTATGTTTCTGGTTCGAAGCCTGAAACAAACACAAAGGTAACAATTACCTAGGAAAGCCACTTTATTTCCTTCTTTTCCAAGACTTCAGCTTTCATCAGAAGACTTCTGCACTTTGGTCTTTCTAGTCACTTCTTTCAGTCACGCTTTCTCCTGTCAGCTGTCCCCTGAATGCCATCTTATTAGAGATGCGTCTGGTACACTCCAGTAGCAGATTCATCCCTGTATTTAGCTTTGGTGTCTCTTGAGATGAAGAAGAGAATCACACTGGGGTGTGTAGGAGGGGGCAAGGAAGGAGTGTGGGCTGCTTTCTATCACTGGAGTGCTCTGAAAATAGTTCAAAGTCAGTGGGGCTGCAGTAACCCCAGAGCATTTGGATTTGTCACTAACTGTTTTACATTTACACCTGGACACCGAGTCAAGGGTTAATGAAAATAAAGAAAACGATCCTCTTCATTATGTTAAAACAGAGCCTTTTGCTAACAGTCCCTTCTCACAATGGAATTTTGCCTCTCTCTGCATGGGGACAGAGTTCCCTGATCTTTGAGCTTCCACCTGAGACTTCCCACAACAGCACCACTCAACAGGGCAAGGTCACATTGCAGAGAAGGAGATTGCAGTTTCTAGCTCTTAATCTCACGTGCAAACATTCTTACCGTGAATGTAACCATGGCAACAAAAAAAAGAGGATGGCAGTCGTGAAGGCCTAATCTCACCGAGGGGGAGAATAAACAAATGCAGGACCCCAGTGCAGAGCAGCTGTGGGCAGGGTCTACCAGCAAAACGGGCTCTGGCAGCGTAACATCACGTCAAACAAACCACTTGATGCAGGCTCCGTCATGGTACGCAACGTTACCCCAAGGGGTATAACCGAGAACAGGGCTTACCATCAAACAGATGCTCACTGCCCTCCTTCAACAAGCAGCTAACGTTGAGCGGGATGAACAACTGAGCTCGAAGTGGGTCTCCGTACAAGTAACTGGGCAAAGCAAACGGGCCTTCCAACACCGGAACTAGCAAAAAACCACAGGACGTGGCTTTCCGATGCCAACCCTGGACCTGAGAAAAGAGCCAAACAATGAATCACGCGACATGTGTCAGCCTGAAGAAGGGCACTTCTGTGCACAGGAGCAACTCATTCCCTGAGAATAGATCAGACGCGCTCCATTCTCCCCGGGCTCAGCCTGCTCTGCACGGCAAGCACGCCAGCGTCCTTGTAAGCAAAGCAGTACAAGCACAAGACACCAGGCTTTCCTTTTTTAAGTGCCACATCAATCAGAAAGCACTTTAAAATAGGACAGTTTTCAGGAACTGATTCAGCCTCCTTATCATCAGTGGCTAAACCCTGCTGCTTTACTGGAACAGTGCGATAGATTTTGAACGGAAGCAAAGCCAATCACCTACTGCTATTTGGCTGGGTGGGGTAAAACCCCACGTTAAATAATTTGAGTTTTACAGAAGCTACATAAGGGAAAACAGAAAAAAACAAAAATCTAAAAATTAAAGAAAAAAAGACACAGATTGCTTGCCTTTTCAATGCAGAATGTTTTCAGCAAGGTTGATGGGGGGATTTTTAAAGCTCAAAGCATTGCTGCACAGGAAGGACACACTGCCTGGAGAAGCCGTGTCCTGAAAGCCATTCCGCCGAGAGTCAGAGTTTTCAGGTTTGGGGAGAGAAGGAATGCAATGTGAAACAGATTCCTTTCCAAAGACCCAGCTCAGGGCTTAAGGTTTGCCAAAGGGGGACTTACACATCACCTTGACCTGTACCGGTCTCTGCATGCTGTGCATGAAACCCCCGGAAGGCAGACACCATCCTGCAGGCAGAATGACTGCAGACAGCATGACAAATGATGGCCAGATGCAGCAATGCTAATGACCATTAGTAAAAATTACTTATGGAAATAAGGGCAGGTCCAAGCCACTGTCTCCCCCTCCGTACTCCCCACCCACTGCACATGACAACATCCCCAGCAGTACGCGGGATACAGAGGCCAGACGGGCCAGAACACAGGGACTCTTACCATCTCGAAAAGAACAGCTGCAGTCACTGCCATCCAGTGCAACTTGATTTCAAAGGCAGCATTCAGGGAGAAATTGCCGTGGTAGTAACAACTGCACCACTCCAGACGGTCGGTGCGGTTATTCACATCCACATCAAGGGTCACTGTCCGTTGCTCAGGCACTGTGGCAGCTACACAGCCAAGGAACAGGGTGTGTTTAAAACATGCATTAAAGAGGGTGGGAGACAGGATGAAGAGAACAGAAGAAACAAGACGAGCTACTTGAGACGAACTTGTCCTCCCGTTCCTCTCCAAATATTCTGGGGCTAGCAGAAGAGTCCCAGAATGCTGCTCAACCAGATCATAGAAGACAAAAAACCCTCAAGTATTACTCGTATCAGGGATTTGTGCCACAGAATTGCCTCCCCAGGCAGTCCAAAACCACTCCAGCTGCAATAAAGAGACTGAACCAAGAGTCAAGCAGCTAATCAAAAAGCGGCTGGGGCCATAATTAAGTATGGCTAGACAGCAGCAGCTCCTTCATGCCCAAGACTTTCCAAATGGGTTTTAGTATTTTCTGTATGCCCCCCCGAAATCATAACAGGGTGCTGTAACACAGGGCAGAAGCATTCCAGGACTTTCCACCACTAAAGGAGATTAGAAAATAAACTTCTTGTTTCTTTAAGCCCGTATCAATATCCCACCTTCCCGCGTTGCTAAAACTGCACATCCAACACTTTGTGTAAAAGCATGAAAAGTGAGCCAAGACTCAGGCAGCAGCATTAGGATCACTGCAATACTTCCCCTGCTTTGCAGTAAGTGCTGGGATGGTGCCCAAGATCCCGCTCCCTCTGTGCCCTACACCCCAGCATCCTGGTGAAAGAAAATCTCAGATAATCAGGGAAGAGAGGAAGAGAAGCACAGGAAGTGGGAGTGACCTGGCTGGTGTCATCCTGCAAGGCCAAGGACAGAACCCAGACCTCCTGACTTCGAGACCAAAGTCCTGCTGAGAACCACACTGTCACTTTTGACTGTTCTGTAGGCAAATACATGATTTAACATTCCTGTATTGTTAAAAACACACAAAACAAAGGGCAGTGATACTACAATTGAAAAAACTGCCCTTTTTTTGCATGCATGAGGGATGGATATTGTTTTTTCTTGCTTAAGCAGAGGAAGATGTGCACCCTTTTATATAGTCGGCTTTTAAATGATCTTATAATTTAATGGCTGAATGGCATTAAAAAAAAGATGGTTGCAGTTCTTCCTCAAGGTAGATGGAAAGTTCCCACCTTTTATTTCTACTGCAAGTCAGCTGCAGCCAGTTTTCAAGGTTGTAAGAAAATCTTTTTATCACTATTACTGCAGCTTAAGATCAGGAAAAACACCCCAATGAAAATGGAAGAATATCGCCCAGTTTTGTTTTGTAAATGCAGATTTGTCTTTGCAGAATGTATCATCTGCAATTTCTGAGGGGGCTGGTACTGTCAGACAGGCCAACATCTAGTGATTTGCTTGTTCTTGCTCCTTCTCAGCGGAGCATCACCATCCCTGCAACGCCTGGGGTTAGAAGGCGACAGTGCCAGATCTGTAACCACGTAGGAACCCCAGTGCCAGTTCTGTAACCAAGTGTGTTGGAAAACAACCCCCCAGAAGCCATAAAGCGAAAGCAGCTCGGTCAGGTGGATGTCGGTCATTAGCTGAGAGGTCAGTGAGAACACCACAGTCCAGCGTGCCCCAGCTCACACACTGTGAAGAATGAGCTCCCTGCTCCCTCAGCCGGTTCCTTGTTCCAGGTAATGCAGACTCCCCGTTAGGGCTGGAGCTTCTCTCTCCACCTTGCCTGCGGCTGTAATTCGCAGGCAAAGCAACAGGAACACAGCCCAGCTAGGTGAGCTAATCAAAGGGACCTTAAAAACTGATGAGAAATAGCCTTAGAAGCTTCAGATTAAAACCAGCTTAATTTTCATAAAATAAACTCTGGCTTCCCCAGATCTGAGTTTAAGAGGACTCACCTGCTTCCCAATTGTCTCGCAGCACTGAGTATTTAACTAACGATTTACTGAGTAAGTTGGAGAGGAGCAGGCAGGTTATTCTCCAGCCACAGACTACGCTACATACGTGACTACAATTGCTAGTGCATGCACTGCTGGAAATCAAAAGGGACAAGATTAGGGGTCACAGATCAGACTTCCCTGGCAGGGGAACGGGACAATCACTGGGCAAAGTGGCAGGGGAACTGGGAGGGGTAGAGATTTTAGAGATACATGGAGCTTGTTCCAGAGCTCCCAATGGTTGCATGCAATTTTATGTCACAGCCTGACATTTAGGGAAGGTGGGGAGGGGAAGAAATATAAACCACAACCAATTCAGAGCCAAGAGAGGAACAAATGAAGTCACGTGGACCAGAGGTCATCTGGGTTTAGTAAAGCTCCTTGCCTCAGATGAACTGGTAAGGTGTATTTTTTTGGAGTACTGTTTAGGAGAGGGACAGCACAGAAACATCAATTAAACCAGTCACTTTGCAAGAAGAAAGTTCCACATTGGAATTTTCTCCAAGAAACTATTACTCCTGGAATAACCAGACTGCATGTGAGCAATCCAGAGGCATTTTTCATTCACCCAAGGACTGCAAATCAGTTTAAGAGCAGAATCGACACAATTCCAACTGAAGTGAAAAAGAAGGGCTACGCAGGTGTGTAAGCACATCACACGTGAGGGAATACGCTTTTCCCAGGCTGGAAAAGGGGAGAGGGGCCCCAAAGCGCCCTTCCTCCTTTGCCCATTTCCCCAGGTTCAAGCTTACTGAGACTCAGTCTCCTCACCTCACAAAGGAGGACAGAGAGAACTGAAGGGGTTTTCTTGGGCTAAACAGCGAGTAAGAGCTCAAAGCAGGAGCAGGATCTGGCCCAAGTGCCTCCAGCCTGCACAGCACTTCACGCCAGCCTACACTCAGACTCCAGCTCTGGCCAATCGCTGAGCCGACGAGGCTGTGTACTAGCCAAGGCAACAGATTCCTTGTGACAGGGAAAAACATCCTGCATATGTTGGCTTCAGGGAATTAACTGTTAGTTCAGACTCCCCGTTCCTTAATGCTTTCCCGTTTCTGATGCTGTTCCTCTTCAAACATGGCTTTCAGAAATAGACATGGACTACTGTAACTTCAGGTTTAAGAGATACTACCAGTAGTAAATCCTCTCTCCTCAGAACGTCAAAGATACAAAACAGGAGAACAGCAGATTTTCCTTTCTATCATGATTTGGTATTGCCATTAAAAGACGCATCTAAATAAATCTGAAGTTGCAGTTTCATAGCAGTGATTTCTCTCGTAATTTTAAACAGAGGAAGAGGAACAAAAGCAAGTGACTCAGGCTGGCCTGGAAAGGCAACTAAAAGCTGACAAAGCAACAGAGTCAGTCATGCAGCCGGTATGTTTCACGGGCTGTTAGCGGCAGTCACACATTACAGAACCCCAGATAGGATAACGGTGTCTTGCCCAGCAGCAAGATATTCCCTGTGCAAACCCGACTGCTTCCACGCTGCAGGGTTCATCTGTAGCTGGGCTTCCCAGGCTCCAGTGTAAGGAGTCTGGCTATACACCATTCATTAGCCAATAAGCCTCCAGCACATCACGGAAAACCTCTCCAACACATGTGGACCTCACTGTGGCTCCTGCAAGGAGACAAAGTCAGTATTTTCCCCTGAATTCTAGAGGATGACACTGGGGGTGACACATTAAGGAACATTCAAGAAAACCTCTTTACTGTATTCCAGTGTGCAGAAGCAAAACTTGCCTGCTCAGCCAGTGAAACACACCTCCAGCACACGCAAACACGTCCACGCGCAAGGCACAGGTAAGGCCAGCATGAAATTTGCAGCTTTACTGCTGGTCCACGTGAGATCATACCCTTGGCTGGCTGCTCTTCCCCTTTCAAACCAGCCCCTTGAACTTCCCCAGCTGTCACCTGTGCTGTGCATCTACCTAATAGTGCAGCTGCCTGGCTCCGTCCGCCGAAACTGCGGCTAAAGGAACTGTGCCTACTTGCATAGGAGGCTGGGCGGCTGGGCAGCCAGGGCAGGAAAAACGCGGGGATTTCCGAGTGCAGGAGCTCTTCTGCCACAAACGCCACCTCAAACCATTTCCTCTGGAAGGCGGAGAAGTCATCCGTCGGAGCTGTGTGCCACAGAGCAGGCTGCTGCATGCCCACTGAACAAAAAGCAAGGGGAAGGACAGATCGCAGTTAGAAACAAGTGTTCAAGGCCAAGAAAGAGACGTAGCTCTTCCTGAAAAAGGGGAAAAAAGGGTGATATTGCCTGCAATTCATTTTTTTCTTTTTAAACCAAAAAGGCTGAGTTCCCCTGACTCTTTAGGGCAGTGCTTTTGGTTGCTGCCACAGTGCACTTCTGCTGCAGCACCCGTAAGAACCAAGCACAGCTAGCCACTATGCAAAGGGATAATGAGGAGAGTCTTGTAATAACACAGTGCTGACCTCGCTCTGGTTCTTTGTCCACGACAATCTTGTAAAAATAAAAGCCATAAATGAAGGTTCGTAAAGCTTCTCCAGACGCGTGGACTATAAGCTGCTCTTCCAGCATTTTCTGAACAAAGAAAACAGAGCCATCAGGACAAAAAAGGACGAGTTGCCCCGCTCGTTACATAAAAAGGTTGCTAGAGAACATTAGGAAATGATTTTCTTTTTCTTGACATCTTTTTGTCCAGATTACGTGCCTAAGGAGACATCAGCAATATTAGCTCCTGACACTCCGTACATGTAGCAGGTCCTTATCTCCCTGAGAAGTTGCGTCTGAGCGTTCCGCAGATACCTGCCTTTCCCTCTTACCCGGTTCTGGTTTTGTAGAGGGATGTGTAGGAAGGCAAGAGCTTGGAAACGTTCTAGGTCCGCTGTTAACTCATATGGGAAGAGCGAACTCCGAAACACTTCCAACCTTCTGCCCCGACACAGTTCAATAGGAAACTCAAGAACAGCAGCAGTGTATCTTGCATGAAGTGTGTATCCTTCAGCACCCACAAAAGGGCTGGTTTTATTACAACTTCATCAGCTAATTAGCGGCAGAAAAACTAAAACTAAACTGAACCCGAATCACACTGCACTGCCTCGTAATTCCAACACAATGGTAACTAGCACCTAACTGGGGGTTACACACAGAACTGTCATCACATCTGTAAGTGGAACAGATAACACGTATTGCTACCGAAAAATACGTTGCTGTTTTGGAATAGGGATTCCAAAAAATGTCACAATCCTCTCACACTCTGTTGAGCAGTTTTCCATACCTATCAATAAGAGGATTTTAACAAGAATCAGAAATCACTGCTATGCTTTCCTCTACAGCTCTACTTCCTTCAGAGAGGGAGGTCTTTCTGGCCCTCCACCGACCCCGACAGTTCTTACCTGCATTATGTCAATCGCCATGGCTTGGGTTTGCACACCCTCCACGTTATTCACCAGCCAGTGTACAACTTCGGCACTGATGAAACAGTACGGAGAGAGGCCCTTCTGTTCCGAGAGCAGCTGGATCCCTGTGCTGAAGCACAGCAAGTCACACATGTTAACACGGACGCACCGACAGTTCTCTGAAGTTGAAAAGAGAAAAGTCGCTGCTGGGAAGAAAAGAGGGGGATAAAGATACAGGACAAGAAACGCACAATGCCCCCAGAGCGACACATCATTAGCTTCTGATAACAAGAGCAAGAGGTGACACTGGCAGCGCTTTAGTGGCTCACTGAGAATTCCTGCTTTGACAAGATTCTGGGATTCTAATAACTGAAGTCTCTGCAGCAATACCCGTAGCTCAATTTCTACAAAATCCCTTGTTGCAGAGATCGGAACTGAAAAACAGAAGCAGCTTAAAACTCTTCCACAGCTGGATGGGGCTCTCCTTTGAGTGACTCCATGCCTCATGTCCTCTTACAAAACACTTAGACAGATGTTAAGCACATTTGTATTAAAAACTTACGTGGGGTGCTTCATGGCTTCGAGAATCTCTATCAGGGTGGAGGAGGAAGTCAGCGTGCTTGCTGAACACTGCTGAGAGCTGGGAAGTAAACAGAAGCATGTTCAAAAACCAAGGAAGTTGCCAGATTGGTTCAAATAAGTACATTTAAGAAAAATGCTCTCCCCTCTCTTCCCTTCCAACCATGCCTTTGCCACATTTAATTCTTTTTTCATCTCAGGAAGGACAACCAAAAGCATCAGACCTGTGTACAGGTCATTGTCACACTGACCCAGCGCACACGTGATTACCCACAGCCGTGCTCAGAAGCAATGGAGAGCAAACATTTTGAAGGTGGCTTTATTTTTCTACTGTAATATACAACCGCAGGAAACAGGTGCTAATATAGTTTATTTTTAACGTTGCTTCCTCCCCGGTGTCTCTCCTCCAGGTTAGAACGTCTTGGATTTCACCAACCTGCTCGATCCAACGAGACCTGCAGGGCTCCCTTTGCTAAAGCAGACAGAAGACAGATGTCACCTCAGAGCCTGCTTTTCTGCTAACGGATTTCAGAAAGGGAATTTCTTCATTTTGTAAGGAATGAAGCTCTTTTTGTGGGTGGGGAGATCAGGCCTCGTGATCATTTAATTCGGGAAAACTGGGTTGCAAGGCTTATTTTACTAGCACTCTTTCTGCACGCGGAAACGCTGCAGTACGCTCTTGTGATAAGTGCCTTCTAGCACTGAGAGACACAGCACATCTTGTTCTCAGGTTCCCTTCAAGTGCCCATTCTCCGACAGCAGAAAGGGGACTGCAGCACAGCCCGGCCGCGCTTCTCTCACCCGCCCTCCGCAGCACCGGCTGGGGTACATCCTGGCTCTGCAGCATTCTGGGCGCTTCCCAGGGCCTGCGTGTTGCCCCTGTCAGGTAACTGCCCTGCGTTTATCAGTGCGTTGCCATCCGAGGTTGCGGGAACTGACTGATCTATCGAGACCTGCGAGGAGTAAGCACAGCAACACCTTTCTGAAATTTATGATGCAATCCCTTACCCATTTTCTCCCCTTCCCGCATCATCTACAACTCAGTGCAGGTTAGTTAACAACAAGCCATACTGTAAGGCAAGCACAAGCACAGGCAGAAAGGATAAGTAGGTTCTTACTTTTGTCATCGCTACAGAGCTACTGACAAACATGAAATTCAGACCCTGTAAAGGTGAGGATCACCAATCCAGCAACAACTGTGTCAGGGGAACTACTGCCAAACCAGCAACGCCAGTCCCAACCTGACATTTTCAGCCTGAGTGAATAATGTGATTATAAGCACGCAATGGACAGCACAGGAAACTTAATCACTGTGAAAAAGTAGTAAGCAGTTGCAAAAAAAAAAACAACCTAACTCTCAAAAATATGCAAATATATCACACAGAATTCAAGTTTCGTAATGCACAAAATCAGCTCATCTTCCTTCCTTTCTTAGGGTAGTATCAGGAGGCTGGTTGGCACCCACCCACACCTACGTCGCCAAGACAACAGGAACACTTTCCTCCCGCGGGAACACTTGCACTATTCCAACGGTAGACTGAATAGTTCACAAAATTAACATAAAATCATTTCAGAAGGAACATGAATGCTGAAAGATTCAGCAAAGTACAGGCTGTAATTGCCATCTGTCATTAACACGTATGGCTTAGTAAAGGCAGATTATATAAAAGCTAGAGAGGTGGGGGAGAGGAACACGAAGAGCAGAGTAACTCAGCAGCTCAAGGTGGTGTAAATATGAGGGCTGATCTGCCATGATGAATCCCCAGCACACGCACAGCTAAAAATCCCAAAGCTGGTAGTTTGACTGAGGTCTGACAGCCAGAGCAGGGTCCTTGATTTATGCCACTCCTCACATCCCAAGGATCTCTCCCTCCACAAGGGCAGATGTCCCTTTTTGGACAGATAAAAAGTCAGCGTGGAATCTACAGTCCCCGCAGCCAGCTAAATCCACTCTCCCTCCTCAGAGCTCACTTCAACCCGCAGCATTTCCTACGGACACACTGCGTTACTGCTAACTCCCAACTGGTGTGAAGCGTAGACACAACTTCACTCACCATGACTCTTTTAAACCCAGACGACACCAATATTTTCAGCTCCCAGTTCTTTAAGAAGGCGAGGACACAGTGTGACCTGGATGTCCCCAGAGTCACCTGTCGGTCACATACCACAGAAGAAATTCAGCTGTGAATGAGCTCAGTAAGCTGTTGCCATTTTGTTAAGCAAGGCAAGATGGAAATGGAGTACTTAGTGAAACACAAAAGGAGAAGCTTCAGCAGTGGACAAGACAGCACGGCAAAGGACAGTAAGGCAGGGCACGTGGACATCCAAAGCGCATGACAAACACTGGGTGGTGGAAGGAAATAGTCACATCCACCACCACCACCGGCCACTTTGTCCTGCTAACACTGCCCATCTCCCTCTCAGCGTGCAGATCTGGAAACTAACCCACGTTCCCCTCGTGGCAAGCTCAGGACAACAAAAGCTCTCCATCACCTCAGTCCGAAAGCCAGAGATGACAAGACCCCGTTCAAAACTAACCTGCGAGCAGAAGGTTGAAGCTGTGCGTGGGCTGCGGACAAAATCCATAAAGAAGGCCCCATCCTGAAGGCATCAGAGGAAGTAGGCCCAGTAATGGCAACAGCAACAGGAACAAGGAGTTGAAGAAAAGCAAATACAAGGTTGTGCAAGTATGAAATGACCAGAGAGAAAGTATGAGGAGAAAGGAAATCTCAAACAGACCCAGAACGTCAGGTGCAGCAGAATGCAGAGCATCAGGATTTATTCACACACACCCCCTTACTTTCTCTCTCTGTACAAGACATTGCTCTTCCTTAGCACAGATTCTTTTCCAAAGTTTTGAAAGCCACACTGATCAAAAGCCAATGGAAACTACAGCCTTCCCTCCATACTTCCCAGGAGAAAGGTGTGAGCTCGAAGGCATGTGGGCTTCCATCCCAAATGCAAAGCCAAACAGTGATACAGAAACCTGTAGAGCTGCACATGTAATGACAAATATCCAAAGAACAACAGCTTTTTGTTCTAGTCTGTCAGTCATTCAAATGATAAGGAGGGAGAGGCAAAGAAGCTCTTTACAGGAAGCACACTCTTCCTCTCAAATGCAGGTCTGGTGTGGTGCAGAGGAAAGGGCAGAAAAATCCATCACAAAGATCCTTCCAACACTGTGTTTAATACTTCCCATAAAATCAAACAGACGCTGCCGGTGCTATGGTCCCCACCTACTTGTAACCCCTGGATGAATTTATCCCCAGCTGCTGTTCAAAGATGTGTCAAGATTCTCTTATCACATAAGGCAACGCAGTGGAACTCAACCAGATTTTCATTCCTTATTTGCAAGTTCTTTGTTCTGTTCCCTAGGCAAAATATTTTGTCTAGCCTGCACACCCCGGTATGTAGGTATAAAACATGGTCTGGAATCAAAGCCAGGGCTACAGGACTGGCAGTTCAGAAGCAGAGCCAAGCACCGGTATCCGGAAGGGCCAAGACTTCCCAAACGGGTTGTGCATCAAGCTAACCCTCCGTGTTAAATCCATACTGTGTTGCCCAGTAACGGGCTGGTCAGTCCTACCCTGAAACAGAGTAAAGGTGGAGCCAGTGGCTCAGTTTTGGTCTGGAGTAACTCCAGCGCTGCAGAGCATCCTAGAAGAGCACTCGCTCCCCCGGCTGCTAACAGAGCGCGCAGCTGCGACAGTCAGTCAGTGCTCGGGCTGCGGGGCTCCGGACCGCTGACATACAGCCACGCTGGCGAGCCCGAAAGGGGTGGCTGTCCTGGAAGCAGGAGGCACGCACTTGCTGATGCTGCCAGCTGAGCACAGCATTGCCCGACAAGGCCACCCGTCCCCCAGCACCTTTCCAACAAGCGTGAGCGATCGATTTGGCAATCCCAACCGCTCCTCTCCCAGTCCCTGCGTGTAAATATTTACTGGGGTGGTTACTGCTGTAGTGTGAAGGGCTTTCAAATGATAAAGCATTCTTCCAGGCTCCCCAGCCAGCCCTCCAGAGAGGCTTCTGAATACAGTTACTTTTAAAATTACAAAGAACGGGTTTGCTGGTAGCGCAAGCTCTGCTACTTTGTTTCCAGCACTTGCTAAGGAAGTGGATTTTGCCTTTTTTCCCTCTGCTGCTCAGAACAGCAGGACACAACATTCTTCTGCCCTATGTCCTACGTGGGATCGTCACCAGCTTTACCAGTAGCAAGAGATATTTACAGTTTTTGTATTTAAAGAAGGAACTCTGAGGAAGCTCATTTTCCAGAATGGTAGAAGAGGAGAATGCAAAGCCTGAGTTATCATCTGGAAGTTTGCAAACATGCCTCCAGTCAGTTCCTGCACCTCCTTTTTCCAAGCTTAGCATGCTCCTGAACCTCACCTGTGTTTTGGAAACACTCTCAATAGATATCTATTACTAGGATGACTATTAGCAATATCCAGGTCTCCAGAATAACACAACACTTGTCAAAACACTAAATGATAAGAGAAAAATACTCAAAGAAACGGTTAAGTTGAAAGTGGGGAATCTGAGAACTTCTTATTTACAATACTTTAA